TGTTGTTGTTGTTGTTGTCTTCACATTAAAAACCGTTCCGATCTCTCTCTACCCAGTACCTTCGCATGTCCGTACTGATACAACACTCGACGCGGTCGATATCGTGGTCGCAGGCTAACTTACCCTAAAAAGGTACACTCAAGTAAATGGCCCCGAGGGGTCCGCAAGTCAATATAAATCAACGACAGATATTCTGGAGTACTCCACTCCCTCTGCGCGTTATANGAAGAAAATAAAAGGAAACAGTAAGGAAAGAGAAAATGAACTGAAAAAGATTGAGGACAAAAAGGCACCAGGCCGAAAATAACAAAGAAATAAGAGACAGAAAAAGGCACACGGTGGAGAGACCACTAACGACAAGCAAACACGCAAACATGGCCACCAACCAGCGATACATTGTAATGGTACGTCATCACTGGTGGGGGGTTGGTGCAATGGTGCAGCGTTGGGGGGAGGGGAACTGGCTAAAAGAACTTCAATCCGGCACGTATCGCGCCACTCGGTCCGTCTCTTCTCGTTTGCTTACTTCCCTCGCCGTCTCGTCCGTCTCCTGCCCGCCTTCTGCCCCATTGGTTGGTGGCTTGTGGTTTCGTTTGAGCGCCCGTTGTCGGCTGGCCTCTTCTTCCTTCTCGTGCCAGGAGGTCATGAACCTCTCAGCTCCCTGCAGCACCGCCGCATGCCTGGGTACTCCCCCCTCTACCTTCGCGGCTTCTGTCCGCTTTAACGTCGGTGCCGTGTCTTTCGGTACCGGGATCCCGAGACAACATGGATCGGTTTTCGTAGATCCGTGGTCGGCCCCGAATGCCTTCAGGTCGTCAAGCACACACTTCGGCCAGTTCTGTTCCTGTCCCCCCCTACGTCGCTTCTCCCCCCTTGCCAGTTCGCCGAACATCAGTCGTTTCGGGAGTCGCCCGTTCGGCTGCCTTGCAAATGCTCCCGCGAACAGTAGGCGTCGTTGTCGGATCGTGGCTTCAACGCTCTGGCATTCGACCCTCTTCAGCGTCTGGGCGTAAGAGAGCTGCCGGAAGGTGTCTTTCTTGCGCTTGTACCCGATAACTCGAAGGAGCAGTCGGTGGTGTATCGACCGCAGCGGCTGACAGTGGCCGCTGAGTGGTGACCATGTCATGCAGCCGCACAGCAGTGCCTCCATCGCCTCCGCCTGGAGCAGGCGGATCTTGAGTCGGAATGGCGCTTGCGGTCTGTCGAAGAGCTCCCGGCCATATCGCCTGAGGCACGCTCACGCTCCTCTGCTCCTGTAGTTGATCTCCCGAGTGAGGTCGCCATGTTCGTTGACGAGGCCAGCGAGGTACCGGAACTCGGTCGTCTGGGCGTATTTCTGTCCCGCGGCTTCGATGGTCAGTGGTGGAGGCGAGGCGGGCTGCGATGTTGTGGTCGGCTTGTCCGAAGTGGAGGATAGGGGCCAGAGGGGCAGACGGCAGGATCCGATGATGGGAGAAAGGAAAAAATATATATATTATATATAGTAGAAAATACCAACTATGTTGTGTATATCTAGATAGACTTGGGACGGCGGATAGTTGGGTGTCATGTTGAGTACGCGCCCCCAACCTGTGGATGAATGACACAACAAATCAATTGGACTCTCTATGCTGCTGCTGTATGTATTAGTTCACTTGTACAGTTGAGGCCCGCACTTAAGAACCTCCTACTTTGTGCGAGGCTCAGTCCTTATTGGCTGCCCCAACCCGAGCACGTGTTCTTATTGGCCATGTTCTTATTTCGCCGTACCATTTTTCTCCAGCGAAATGTTCTTGTTCTTATGTCAACAACAATTGGCCCTGTTGGCGTACGTTGTATGACGACGTACTTTGTTGGCGGCTGTCAACTGCTCTCAGCGGAGTGTTCATAGTGTTTAGCATGAGGAACAATGCTGTTGCTTGGTACAAGAGCACACCAAGGTATGCAGCAGCAACTGTCAACCATCGNTGTTGGCGTACGTTGTATGACGACGTACTTTGTTGGCGGCTGTCAACTGCTCTCAGCGGAGTGTTCATAGTGTTTAGCATGAGGAACAATGCTGTTGCTTGGTACAAGAGCACACCAAGGTATGCAGCAGCAACTGTCAACCATCGTGGTCCACAAGGGTGACGTTGGTCCTGCGTACCCTCCCCGATCTACTAACGCTCTCAAGCAAGACCCAGGAGCCTACCGCCGCATCCAGATCTCCGGTGTACTTGTCTAAGGGAAGCTTCATCTTGCGCGTACTCTGGTCTAGCTCCAGCTGCACACAGTAGTCGTACAGGTGGCGAGTGTCCTGCTGAGATTGCTGAATGATCAACCCTCGAAACCACCCCATCCCCAGCCTAACGAGCACTCCACGTCGCAAAAGCAATCTGTCAAGAGCAACGGGTTTAACTTCTTGAATGCGAAAGCCTGTCGGGCTCTCCATTCCTTGTGTCTCGTCCTCCGGGTCTTGTGGGTCCATTCTGTCGTCGTCGTCGTCGAGAAGAGCTAGCTCATCGGTCTGAGTTTGAGCCGTGCCTGCGAACGGGGCACCGTGAAACACCACAACAAGTACGGTGTCACGGCCGAAACTCAACATGAACCCATCATATTTGCTCGTAGTCGTGAACGCGGAAAGAGCACATCAGCAAAATCCAAGCAAATATCAACATGGACATCGTCATGAACAAGGAAATGACAAAGTTTGGGTCTAGTGCAAATCAAACTTACCGCCGTCGTCTTCATCATCGCTGGAATCAGCGCCCTCCACGACCGTCTCACATCCGTCGCCCTCCTTCCCCCACCCCTCAGGCTCATCGCTGCCANATCAGCAAAATACAAGCAAATATCAACATGGACATCGTAATCGACAAGGAAATGACAAAGATTGGGTCTAGTGCATATACCGCCGTCGTCTTCATCATCGCTGGAATCAGCGCCCTCCACGACCGTCTCACGTCCACCGCCTTCCTTCCCCCGCCCCTCACGCTCATCGCTGCCGTTCTCCAAACCTCCTTCGTCCTCGCTACAGTCTTCATCGTTTGCGAAGGTGTACGGCTTGTCCAAACCCTCCAAGGTGATCCGATCATCGCCTGAGCCGTCCACCGTCATGGCCATCCCGCACTTATCGAAAGGGCGGAATCGGAACGCCTGTTGGCTGTTGAGTCTTGCCATGGCCGCTCCAATCCACTGAGTGATCAGTACCCGCCGATCAGAGGCTGTCAGCGCCGCGGTTTCCCACCTCTCGAGGTTGTCCGACTGCTCGAGCCACATGTCCATCTGCCTCCCAGCTTCCACCTTGATGAATCGTCCGGCTCCTGCATCAACTGGCTGCACCTCGTCCGTGCACTCAGAAGGGCCACACCAGGCGAAAGTGTTGCACTCCTTCGCAAGATACTCCTTGAATTCGTCCGTCGTCTGCTGGTGCAAGTTGTCCATGATAAGAATGGACCTCGTCTTGGGAAGCTCACCCCGCCCGCGCATCAGGCCTTCGCGGTAGGACCTCTTAGCCCACTCCATACAGAACTTTTGGTCGGCCGAAGCATTCTCCTGGAAAAACACGTCCACGTCCTTGTGGTACGCGGCCTTCTCCACCGGCGAGATCCGCTTCCCCGTGCCTCGGAAAATCACCGAAATTCGCAAGGTCTTCTCACCCGGACCAAAGATGACTTGCATGGTGCACTGCCTTTTCTCTAGGCCAGGAAAGGGCTGTGAGATGGCGACGCGCTTCGCACCTCGCTCCTCCGACGTATCGAGCAGCCCGTTTACGAATGCCAAAGGCACTTGATCCACATTCTAACGCTCCCAGAGCTGGAATTGGCCATACTTGGGAACTCTGGACTCCCTCTCTGCGACCGTCGCAATCGCCGATACGTCCGACTCATCGGGCGCCCTGTACCGCACCGGCTCTTGCAGGAGCTTGCGAAACAGTCGGTGGAAGCGCTGGATGTTTGGTAGGCGCTCCTCACCAGACTTGTTCTTGAGGTTGGTTCGACGTCTTTTGGACAGATTGTGCCTCTTGGCCCATTTTCGTGCCCACCTGAAGGATGCGCGGAACGCCGCCGCCCGTTGGTCCCCGGGATACATCTCTCGCACGAGCTTCCGGAACGTGATCGTCAGCCACAGGGTCGATACCTTCAGCTTCCTCTTACGCCGCTCCACGAACATCTTGTAAAGCCTCTTTTCTGCCTCAGGAAACCACCGCTTAGGCTGCTGCTTGGCGAGGAGGCTCTTCTTCACGTCGTCTGCTGCCGCCGCGACTATGGCCTTCTCGTCCTTGGCCCACTTCACGATGTTGCTGTAGTGAACCTTGAGACGATCCTCTAAGTACTGAAGAGGCGTGCGCTCCTCCTCCTTCCAGAGGTCCGCGGCGTTGTCCTCGAGGATGCGCAGCTGGTTGACAGCATTGGCTTTGAACCTATAGTCGTATCGCCTGCGCTTGGGAGCTCCACGAGTTTCCTTGGTTTCGCGGTCCATAAAGCCGTCGCTTTCCAAGTCTAGATCGAGAAAGCGCTTCCGCTGGAGGACAAACGAAGCCGCCCCCGTCGCATCATCGACCTTCACGTGCCAACAACGCCCAGGCCCGGGTTCTTCCCACGGCAGGACACGCCCTTCGAGATTCTTCCGTAGCATCCGCCGCAGCCGCACGCCGTTGGACATGTTTGCACTGCTGTGCTGCGTTCTCACGTGGATCCCAAGGCCTTGATCGTTCACGAAGGTCGTGGGACAGTGAGGGCAGGATCGGTGGGACTCCGGGGCCGGAGGCGGGAAGCTGATACCGGATACGAACTCCTTCACTCCATCACGAGTCCGCTCAATCTGCTCGGTGCGATGGGAAAGGGCGGAATTGCCGTGTAGGGGATTCAACGAGCCATGTGACGTGTCAGTCGCTCTTAGTTTTGGCGCTGTTGAATTCAAACTTCCGTGGATGCCGCTGGCAAAAGTATCTATGCACTCTGAACGAATACTTCCTTGAAAAGTTTATCGTGAATCACACGAGAGAATGGGGAGATGACGTCTGTTTCGTTTGGGTCACATTAGACTAGTAAACTTACCTATGTTTTTTTTCATTTTTTCTCTTGCTAGACTTTCGGGAATAAAAAAACAGAAAAACACCTGTGTAGCAAAACAAAGCAACAGCGTGCGTCGGATACATATGTAACCGAACTCACCGGTTGTCCGCTGCCAATCGAGAACGCGTTCCAGATGTTGCCGCCTAAGGTGCCTTTCGCAGCTCTCTCCCTGGCGTGCTTCCCTCGATCCACCTTCCTCCTCGCGGTACCCGCTGCAGCAGCAGGTGGGTGCTGAGAAGGTGCAGCAGCACCTCGTGCGCTGCTGGCAACTTGTTGGGATGACAAGGACAGGCGGGTGCTGCTGGTAATGCCCTGGATTCCACCATCAATCTGCGCGATCCACTCTCCTTCGTCGAAGATACCGTTCTGCTTCAACCCGCACGCGCTCTCGATGGCGTCCCACCGCTTCTTCGCAACGGAGTTTCCCGCCTTCACATGTGTTTTTATCGTCTCGAAGTGACGGTCAAGAATCAGACCCCGTCCTTTCAACTCTACAAGTTTGCCAAGATCTTTCAACAACCCATGGGATAAGGGATTGGACAGGGACATGATCCCCCTGTACGGCAGGCAACTCGTGGCCCGCTGCACGTCCGTGGCCTGGCAGCCANAATCTGCGCGATCCACTCTCCTTCGTCGAAGATACCGTTCTGCTTCAACCCGCACGCGCTCTCGATGGCGTCCCACCGCTTCTTCGCAACGGAGTTTCCCGCCTTCACATGTGTTTTTATCGTCTCGAAGTGACGGTCAAGAATCAGACCCCGTCCTTTCAACTCTACAAGTTTGCCAAGATCTTTCAACAACCCATGGGATAAGGGATTGGACAGGGACATGATCCCCCTGTACGGCAGGCAACTCGTGGCCCGCTGCACGTCCGTGGCCTGGCAGCCACCAAGGGGGCGCGACGTGTACAGTGCCCACCCTCTCCTCTGCAAAAATTGCAGATGTCGAGGTGTATGTATGCACCCACCTTCGGCACACCTATCCCCCTGCCAAATCCAATGCTTGGATCACCCCCCCGCCCGTCCCCCCCTCCCCGGTCGAATGTTCTTATCTCGCAGCTGCTGAATGTGCTCTTGTTCTTGTCTTTAGCAGCAGTGGTACACCTCAGGCGTGCGTTCTTATTCTTAACTGCAGGTGCAATCTGAGCACGTGTTCTTACCAGCAAATTCTTAATTTTTGATATTTTTGAGCACCATATTCTTTAGTGCCATATTCTTAAGTGCGGGCCTCAACTGTAGTCCCCCGGCCATCTTCATGTGCAAACGTCGGTCGCCCCAGTGGTCTAGTTGATATCCTCGAAACCTTCTTGAGGTCAGGGCAGGGGCTCGAATCCCGGCGTAGGCGAGCTTTTCTTGCAAAGTGAGTTTTTCTCTCTCTTCCGCTCCTGACCTAGTGGATAGCGCTAGTAGTCCGTGTGTACACAGAGGAAAGATAGTGCTGAACTCTGCTCGCATTGAAAATCGACGGTAACGCACCGCAGGAGGGGAGGGTAGAGAGGGGCCCTTCTGTGTGCCTACGGGTTGGAGTAAACGGCACTACAGTACAGTAGGTCCCTGTTGAGTGTCGGTTGAATAGTGCCGGTTGCCGTTATAGTGCCGGTGTTTTCGGCTCGCACACACTGGGATGTCGTTCTGTTCTTCGAATAGTGCCGGTGTCCGGTTTAGTGCCGGTGAAATTTCGGCGCACACCCCTGCACTAAATAGGGACCTCTACTGTAGTGCTGTGAGCGTTGACTTGATTTGAAGACAAAAAAAAAATCCTCTGAAACATGTACTTCAAATAATAATAATAATGTGTTTCGAGACTGCCTGTCTTTCGTATTTTTGATCCGCACTGACTTCGATTTTTTGTTTCCGGTACTCGGTAAATATGGTGAAATTACAATTTTCTTTTCACACACACAGTACTCAATCAAGAGTACTCCAGTAGAATTGTACTTCTACTACAGCAGTAGTAGTCCCGTCCTGTTACCATCCTGAGAAGAAGCGGGATAGTACGGCAGAAGAGTAAAACCGTTCTCTCGTGAGACGCCTCATTGGCGAGAAAATCTGCAGTTAGTTCTTCTCAACATGAGGATATCATGGCATGTGCATTGTATGTATGCATACCAACCTACAAAGAGGAGACTCAGGGTTGCGGCATCCGTAATCTACACTAGTACGCGGACTACTACCGGGGGGCGGAAACTTTCTCTCTTGAGATTTGTCAAGGATGAGTACAAGTAGGTGTCGGAAGAGAGAGAATCATGTCAGTCACACCGAAGGGCGAAGGGAGAGGGTATGTACGCAAGTAGGTCTGTTTTTTAGTCACGGGCATTTCTTTCTGATACAACAAGTATCAAATAGACCTCTTGGGCTCCCTTTCGACAGCGAACAAAATAAAATACTCCGACTAAGAAATTTCTGCGCAGTCCGCGGCGACTTTTAGTCGTATCCATAATCGGGAGTCCTTGCGACCAGCTTTTCGGCTCTCTCCTGACAGCGAACAACCTAGTAAAAATTCCGCAGGCAGGTAGGTATATGCATAGATATATACGTGGCTGGCGGTGGAACGCCGGATCCAAAATAATCAGGGGTTTTCTTGCTGTTCAACGACGAGTTGTCAAGATACCCCGCTCACATCGTATACTACTGTCGTATGCTTCCTTCCTTCGTGTGTGCGCCTATGATTTCAACACTTATACCTCCATCAACTGTCCTCCACGTGTGTTGTTTCTATTGAATTTTCTATAGCTTGGAGAGCTTTTGCTTTATTTATCAATTTTTGCGGACGCCAAAAAATTGCTGTCTCGGAACAACAGGATAACACAACCAATAATGAATGTAGGAAATGAACTTGAAGCTACATATGCATACGAGTCGCGTTTTTTGGTTCTCAACAGTCAATTTGTCTGGTGGCACGTAGTACACACCAGATAGAACACTCACTTTTTCTCGTGGTTATGATATGGAATTGCCCGTTGTTGTGTCGACGGTCGCGATTGGTTCCCACAGGCAGTGAACGGGGGCGTGCTTAACGTGGCCCCGGAGGGCTATGCGCGTTTCCTCGACTCCGTGAAGATGTACAGCGTCGGGGTGAACACCGTCGAAGACGACACCATGCAACACGGGGGGTGCATCTACAACGAGGTAGACAAATGGGATGGGAGTCTTTCGCCACAACTACAAGTAGTAGTGAGTTGGAGTCTCTGAGTACGTACTCTCTCGTTTGGAAATTATAAGCATAGATAGGTCCCGCGGGTGAGCCTGGCCGTCCTTCGTTGGTAGAAGTCTGTGCGTTGCTCGTTTTTGGTTGCTCCAGAGGCACAAAAACCACGAAGAAAACGGAGGTTTAGCTGATATTTATTCTGCTCCTGCTTCTTCTGTTGCTCGTTTCTGGTTGCTCCAAAGGGACAAAAACCGCTACGAAAGTTTTTACTGACATGAATACTCTACGGCTGCTGCTATGTTTTCCCGCATTATTTGTGCCATCAGGGATACGTCAGATTTGAGGGTACGTTCACCGCCGACGCGTGCAGGGTTGGGTCGACGGCAGAAAAGTACCCGGGAAATGGCGGGGCCCTGTGGAATGGACCCGACGCGAAGGTGGTCTTCAAGGAGGCAGTGGAGATGACAAACTGCTACGGCAAGAAGGTATTGCTGCTGCGTTTGGATCGGGGCTCGTTTTTTTTTGTTCTTATTGAAAAGGGCGCGACAACAATTGCAATCGCCCTCCACATCATCGCAACATGTACACGAGAGATTGGAGATTTCGGGCCCGCGCACGGGGTTGACAAGCAACAAGTTGCGGCCTGCTTCCAGAACAGAGCCATGGATTTGGAACGCGTTGTGAGTGGTGCTGCAGGTTGACTATTGTACCGTTGAAGTCTTGGTATGTGGAGGTTCGCCGTGCGACGAGCGCGAGGAAAACTTCGCCGCTTTTTGCGCCAAGAGTCCCGTTTCGTCTTCGGCCGCCGTCGTTGCTGCCGGTGTCGCGCGAAACCCGAAAGACCGAGGACTACAACGGCAGGTACACAGGTCTCGAAGGCGGCGCAGTCTACACCGAGGGCAAGATTTCTTTCTACGAAGACGCTGTCTTCACGGACAACGAAGGAGATGTGAGAGAGCACCCCCCCCCGCCCCCCCAACGTTTTCTGTGAGGCCCCACTGCGGCCAACCGCGCCGTACATAGGCAAAACACCGGTTACAGCCAAGACGCTCGAGCGCGCATGCACGCCTGGCAGACCATAGTCGTGGCACACCCTTGCATATCGATTTGCGTTCAGTGACGAAGTGACTTCCGACTTGAGAAACCACAGCAATCGCCGTAGCATCACCCGGTGTCCGAGTTCTCACGCGAATATGCACAAGCACAACGGGGAGAGGGGCATGCACATGTAACAACAGATGGTACCACGCCTGATTCCGAGCTCCTTGTTGCTGTTGTTGACCGAACACTGCTGCAACGGGATGGGACTATCAAAGACAACATGCACCTCCCTGATTCTTACGCGCCCGCTTGGTGTTGTTCCACCGCTACCACCGTGGGTTTCCACTTCACAGGAAGGAGGGGCCATGTGGATCGGCGGCACCGGTGTCGTGAAGTTTCTCAAGAGGTCCAAGGCCACCTTCGCCCGGAACACGTCCGAGAACCGGGGGGGGCACATCATGAACGAGGGCGTCCTCGTGATGAGGAACACGGCTGTGTTCGAAGACGGAGTCTCCGGCAGCAGCGGCGGCGCGATCAACGCCGGGGACGCCTCGGAGATGGTGTGAGTGCCCCATCCTGCCCCCATCCTTTCCTTTGCCAGAGTGCGGTGAAAAAACAAAATCCCACCTTTCGAGTGCGGTGAAAAAGCAAATCCCATCTCTCGACACAATAACCATTCGCCAAGCCGCTGCCCGGCTTGGTGGCTACTGGCAAGAGTTTTTCTTCGCAGTAGGCACTCTCTCCAGAAGCTTGTTGAATACTGTCAGGCGCGCATGTTGCTGTTGATGATTTTCTGCCGTCGTCGTTGTCGCTGAAATGACATCCCGATATCAAATGCTCACCTGGAAGAACCGGATTTTCGATACCACCCGTACGGTTGGCCAGAAACCAAACAGAGGGATGTCTGACGTGGCCCGTTCAACCTCGGGTACGATACTTTATTGGTCGAACAGGTTCATCAAGCACGTCAACTTCATCGGAAACTCTGCCGACGCCCACGGTGGAGCAATCGCCACGACCTACCCCAACATCGAGTTCCTTCCGCAGGACGCCACCTATGAGGGGAACGTTCTGCAGAACGTGAGAAACGGATGCGCGCTTCTCGTGCAAACCCGTCCTTTCTTGATTGCTTGTGTATTCTTGTCCTTTACCCAGATCATTCCCTAGGTTTGGTTGTGTGACGGCCTCTTGCGCCGGTCTGTGGTCCCTCCCGTCGCTCTCTTCTTGTTGGTTGCCTGATCTACGATATCTTGAACGACCCAAAGTCCCCATGATCAATTACTGATGCCAAAGTTTCACATGACCTACCTATATTCTACCTTTGTTGCCCCATCTTTCTTCATTAACGGTCCATGCTAACTTGGTACTATGAATATATGAATTATACCCGAGCAACATGCGATTAAATCTCCCCTGTTAGTACCAAGCTCTCAAAGTCGGTATGGCGGCCATCATGTGCGTGCGCTAGGAGGGGTTAAAACAACGAGGATGGTACTGTAGGAAGGGTTGGGTGTTCCGAGAGTTTGTTTTTATGGATGTCCGTTGTTGTGGTAGTTCTCGGCTAACGTGTTGAGCTCTATCTGAGCGTGTATTTCCCTTCTTCTGCTGCGCGTGTTGGGGTTACGATCGTAACTGCGGAAAA